TCAGACACTATGTGGCTTAATGTAGATATATTAACTTATGTAGTTTTGCATCTATATATTTTACCTACTTGAATATATGAATATAAAGAGGATAATGAAGGTACTATATCAATGACTGAAGTTTATAAAACTCTGATATAGTCCAATACTTGCCTGATGCACTAATCCTTTCTCATCGTAATCATCAGTTTATTAGACATTTTCAGTGTCAACAAACTTACTGTCTCATGTGACACTCGAATTGTTAGGATGTTTTCCCTTCTATTAAGCTCAAGACTACCTCTCTTGAAATGATGATTATCCATTAGTATCCTCAAGAAAATAAATGAATGGATGAATAAGCAGAGAGAAAGAGAGGATAGAATGGATGCTATAAAATACATTTAATTCCTCTTTTATGTGAAAGTTCTTTGATCCTGTGAAATCAACTAAGTCTTATCTCTGCAGGCTATGTATTCCCCAGTCCTTCAACATTTTTCAAAAGATATGATTTAGTTGCTGTTATTCTGTGTGTGAGAGAGGCAATGGGATATTCCAAGTGTGATCTGAGTAGTGTAGAACAAGAATTATTGTTTCTTCCTTCATTTTGCACATGAACTTCCAGTAATGCAGCCTAGGACTGGATTAAGTTTTTGGCAGGCATATCCTCATGTTGACTCATGCTAAACTTGCCCTCAACTAAAACCATCAGGCAATTTCTTTCGTATATTTGGTATTAAGTCAAACCTTCCACATGTGTTTGTACAGTTTGTTTTGGGGCCTAAAATCGAGACTTTACACTTACTCCAATTAAGTTTTTTTTTATGTTTGATTCAGTCCATTGTTCCAGACGATTGTGTCCTCAATATACATTATCAACCCCTGCAGCTTCTTGGCATTCACAATCTGATCACCAGCATTGATGCCAATGCTCAGCGGGCCAGAGTTAAAAAATAAATTTTGAAGAAAAACTTTGTCTTGCAAGTTTATATTGATGGAAATACTCATTAGCAATCTTTGGGTACAATTCCTCAAATAGCTACTAATCCTTCTAGGGTTATGTCATGTGGTGTACATTTCTCTGTGTTAGCCACAGGAAAACATGAGACAAGGAAATTCTAATGTCCAGGAGAGTGCCCTTACTTGTAAAGTCCAGAGGTTAGAACAGGGTTTTCAGCCTACACACGATTGACAGTTTGAGGCAGATAACTTATTGTTAGGGAGCAGGGCTGCCTTGAGCATTGTAGAACGTCTGGCTGCATTCCCGGTCTCTACCCAGCACCTGGCTGTAGCAACCCCCTTATCATGCCCCTCCCTCCCTATAAGCCGTAACAATCAAAAATGTCTCCATATACAGCCAAATGTTTCACTGGGAGCAACAGTGTCCCTCCTTAACTGAGAACCACTGTTCTGGATTCTGCATTCCTCCAATGTAATCTTATACTTGGAGTCCACCTGTTATGGCTTTTTTTTTTAACCTTTTCATAGCTATAATTATGAATGGGCTATTCATATATAGCACCAAAACAATTCCTTATCAGGAATTAAATATGTGGATATGTTGAAATGAGATATGGAAATCATAAGAAAAATAATGAGGAGAGTGAAGAGGGATAATATAATCCTAAAATTTAGAGTTGACATTAAATTAATCATTGGGTAAAACAGTTACAAGGAAATTGAACAGGAATTATATCATTTAAGAGGTCATCTATAAGGACTTTTGTATCTGCATGCTCATCAAAGTATGATTTGGAAGAGAGAAAAATAGAAACAGACTAAATGTTTGACAATAGAAGATAAATAAGTTATGGTATACTGCTCTCACAGACTATTAGAGAGTCATCAGAATGGCATATTTTCAACACATTAATGACATGGGGAAATGCTCACAATATAATGCTGTGGAAAAAGTGGGATATTATATATGCAGCATAGATACCAAGTTCAAAAGAAAATACATACATAGGAAAAAAGATCACAAAATATTAATAGTGGTTGTAGAATTAGGCATGATCATATTAGTTTTCTTAACGCTTTTTTTATGCCTCCAAAATTTTCTTCATGCAATTTTTGTAAGTTTTGTGTGCGTGGGTGGTACTGGGGGTAAGCAATCCATATTCCCTTGGGTGAGTGAGCACTGGCGAGTGTTTTTCTTTTGTTGCCAAAAAAATATGCCAGTAAGGTAGAATGCTTCAAAGAGGACCCATAAGAAAAGATGACAATACTTTTAGACTGGCTTATTCAGTCCTCTTGGGGGAAAAAAAAAACAAAACAAACAACCTCTGCACATCCTTTCTCATAGGATAAGGATAGTTTAATGTTCCAACCAAATCCTGTCCCTTCAAGTTAGTGGTTCTCAGACTTTAGAATGCTGAAGAATCACACTGAGCTTACCTCTCAAATACAGATGCCTGAGCTCTAACTCCAAAGATTCTGATTCTGTAAATTTGGTATGGGACTCAAACATCTTTAACACGCTCCCCACGTGATTCATTTTCATCAAGTGGTCTACGAACTACACTTTGAGAAACACAGCTAGAAGAAGTCATATGGTTTGATTTGGATGAATATTTTTAAATTTATGCTCCACTTTGGACAATTTCTTCCTGGTTATACACTAAATAGAGTTGGTATAAACCCTCAGGGGTATGCTGATTAACTGGCTCTTTGAGAAAGCAAACCCAACTTATTGCATTTGCCAATTTCTGTGGTGTAAATACTCCCACCATGAACAATTTCAAACTACTAATGGCTTAATGACGAGCTCACAAAATTCCTGAAAGTTTAAAAATCACAAGCTGATACAAGCTGGCTCCAGCACTGCACAATATATATTTTATTTAAGTGCTTTAAATCCTTCGAAGAAGGGATATGTTAATGAAAAGCTATTGTATCTATGACAGCTAGGATGAACCAAATAAGCAATAGGGCAGCTCGAATCATCTTAAGGTAACAAATTGCAAAGGCATTAGAAAAAAAGACAACTTTGTGAACTTTCATACACTGTTTCTTATTATATTCTATTTTTTTTTCCAGTGGCCATGTCACAAAGAGTAATACACTCACTGAGTTCTTTAAGGGTTGTGAATTGGTTTCTTATGGATGATGGAGAGCCAAGAAATGGGACTCAAGGTTTGGGAGCAATGCCAAATGTTCAGCCACCACCACCACCCTCTGTGGCCCTCAGCTCCTGCGCGGTTGAAATGCCCTCGGTCATTAATTCTACAGCACCCAACCATAAAAGCCACTCCTCCAACTTCTTCCCCTCACACAAGATTGAGACAATGTTGTCTCTAGGAAACCCATATCAGATGTGTTTTATGTGTTCATGTGTGGGAACTGGCCTAAGTGGAGGCTAATAGTAGAGTTCTTTCAATGTTTTGACCAAACATATTTTAAGAAAATTGGACCCGAAGCCTATATAGCCAGCTGAGGTGAATTTACAGCCCTGCTTTTAAGAACAAAACTCCCTCAGGCACCTGCTTCCTAAAGGCAAAACCAGAAAGGAAATGAACTCTTGCTTAAAGACAACCCACCTAATTTTATGGGTTATCAATTTTCTAGCTGGCACACATTTCCCTTGCTACTAACAGTAAACCCTCCCAACCCCGAGCAAGTATTGAGCTACAAAAAAATGTGAAGTCTGAATTCTAGCAAACAGCTCTGTTTCCTGAAGACGAGGCAAGGATATGGTGTCTCAGTAAGTGAAGTCAGGGGAGCAGCAAAGATCTATGATGTGGACGCACCACATCGATGCCTTTGCCAATATACACATTAAAATCTTAGCCTGCATTACATTTTATGTTACAGGATTACTGAATCTTGGACTATGATGGAGAATTCATCATTCCAGTTTTGGGGGTAGCTCTGTCAGGTGAATAGTCAGCAACAATATAAAGCACTTGATTTCCTTTTACCTGCATGCTGACCCTGGAAGTCAGCTTATCAACGACTTTCGCATGAGAAAGGACCAAATGGGGCTTCTTTCCTCGCTATTGATAAAGTTAGCTTTTATCGATGGGAAGAGACTACAAGACAGAAGTCAAAGGTTAACAGTAGGTATTCAGCCTGCTCTGTGCTAGAAAGGACGATGTATAAGTATGATTTTCTTAGTACACGTTACTAGAGTATTAAAATAAGTACAAGAACTGACTTTAAAAACTACAAGGACTACTGTTACTAATAAGCGAGTGACAAGCTGGACAAATCTGACTTCATGCATGATGAAGTCAGAATCAAGTGCTTAAAATGATATGCTAGTTTTGTCATAATCTCCGTCTTTCTCCAAGATCCATTTAGTTGTGCAGGTGAAGAATTTTCAGGAGAAACATGAATATTCAATTACATGTTTCAAAATCAGACATTTACACATCAACGTGCGGTAAGTGTAGAGTTAACCTCAAAGATAAGTGAAGGGCCTCTTGTCCAAATGGAACATTAAGCCCCTCAAACAGGAGAATTCAGTCCTTGCAAACTGTCATTATTTCAGTAAACGAAACCGGCCCTTTAACAGATGGGCAACATACTTTGCAACTTGCTGATAGCCTAATAAAAGACACTGGCTTTTTAAAAATGAAGGACATGAGCTTCTCAAATTACACCACCCAAATGGATTTAGCAGAATAAAATTAAGAAGGCATACAACAGCTTGACAAAAATTAGGAACAGACTATGGAAATTTGATAGTTCTAAACATCAACATCACAATGACCTTTTTATTAGAAAAAAAAACCTCATTGTTTAAACCATAGGAAAAATATACATTGATATAGTCAAAACTGGGGTAGGATATCTTGGAATTGTAAGTACTGATATAATAAAAACATAAAGTTAATTTCTTCTCCAAATATACTAAAAATTCCCCAGAAAGGCAGGTTCCTTTTACGTCAGGTACCTTTGCTTTTGTATTCAACTCTATGCTTCTTGAAATAAAATGTCTCCAGCTGACTGATGCAATAATCAAATTAAACACAGGCCATGGACCCAAACAAAATCAGGGGCTCAGCATTTCTGCTCACCTTTCTCGTTCTTCTTTCATTTTTTCCAGTTCCTCTTCCCTCAGGCTGCCATGCTTCCGAGTGCCCTTCTGCTCAGCCTTGCCTCCCTTATCATCTTTCTTCTTTCCAAATCTAGAAACACATGAAGCAGAAGATGTTAACACTAACCATGTTCTTTTGGTGGTAAATTTAGAATATTTATGAGATGAACTCATCAAACTGTAATTCTTTATTCTAAGTAGCACAAGATCATTTTGCATAAAATGGAAGTAAAATAAGATCCTGAAAGCGGAAAAGTAATAGCCACTAAATCCCTCTTCTTTCCTTCTCGTCCTTCCTTCCTTCCATCTTTCCACTGAGATATTGATTGTGCAGCATGCATAGAGTCATGTGGTTAAAGACTAAAAATCTCAAACTATGAATTCACTAGAAATTTTAGAACTGAAAGGTTATCATTAATATATAACTCAAAACTGACCGAACTCCTAACCAGGCCTTCAGAGCCCCAAGTGGCCTTGACATTTAAAGTTGAAACTCCTGGGAAGAGATAATGATGGTGCTTCAAGGGACTTTGCCAAACACCTAGTTTACTGCTGTCATTTTGCAAATGAGCCCTTGGGCCTTGGCCACCCAATAAATCCGGGGAAGGCCCGGGATTAGAACTTGGGTTGGGGCGCCTGGGTGGCGCAGTCGGTTAAGCGTCCGACTTCAGCCAGGTTACGATCTCGTGGTCCGTGGGTTCGAGCCCCGCGTCGGGCTCTGGGCTGATGGCTCAGAGCCTGGAGCCTGTTTCCGATTCTGTGTCTCCCTCTCTCTCTGCCCCTCGCCCGTTCATGCTCTGTCTCTCTCTGTCCCAAAAATAAATAAACGTTGAGAACTTGGGTTGTCTCCTTTACTGCACTGTCTCCTTCGTGCTACATTCACTCTGTGGATGTAGCCCCAGTCTTCCTAAATCAGCCCAGTGTTAGTGTGCTCTCAGTCCCCTTGATGCCTGGCATATTTGTAGCTAATTTTGGCACAGTGGCAAGTATGATACCTTATTTCTTTTCCTCCAGCTTCACTGAGACATGATTGACGCATAACATTGTGTAAGTTTAATGTGTACAACTGCTGATTTGATATATTTCTAAGTTGCAAAATGATTGCCACCACAGTACTGGCTACCACTTTCATCCCATCACACAGTTACAGTTTCTTTTTTGTTGTGAGAGTATTTAAGAGCTACTCTCTTGGTAACATTAGATCGTTAGTATTAGCTGTGATCACCATGCTGTCCATTAGATCCCAAATTTGCTAATCTTATAACAGAAAGTTTCACCTTTTGACCAGTGTCTCCTAAGTTTCCCCTCTCCCCAACCTCTGGTAACTACCACCCTGTTCTGTTTCTCTGAGTTTTCTTTTTTCAGATCCATAGTGTACATGTGTGTGTGTGTGTGTGTGTGTGTGTGTGCATAGGTGTGTGTGTGTGTATATATATATATATATATACATATATATATGTATATATATATATATACACACATATACATACACATATTCATATATGTGCACATGTATGCATATATACACACACATATACACTGCATCTTCTTAATCCATTCACCTGTTGCTGGACAATTCAGATGTTTCCATATCTTGGCTATTCTAAGTAATGCTGCAATGAACATGGGAGTAGAGATATTTCTGTGGGATCCTGAAGTCAATTCCTTTGGATGCATACCCAGAAGTAGAATTGCTGGATCATAAGGTAGTTCCATTTTTTAAAAGCTTTTATGTAAATTCCAGTTAGTTAACATACAGTGTGGTATTAGTTTCAGATGCACAATATAGTGATTCAACAATTCCATACAACATCCAGTGCTCATCACAGCAAATGCACTCCTTCGTCCCCATCACCTATTTCACCCACCACCTTCATCCACCTCCCCTCTGGTGACCATCAGTTTCTTCTCTATAGTTAAGAGTCTGTTTCTTGGTTGGCCTTTCTCTCTTTTTTTTTTTTTGTCTTTGTTTGTTTTGTTTCTTAAATTCCACATGAGTGAAATCACATGGTATTTGTTTTTCTCTGACTTACTTCACTTAGCATAATACTCTCTAGCTCCATCCATGTCATTGCAAATGGCAAGATTTCATTCTTTTTTATGGCTGTGTGTGTACATGTTTGTGTGCATGTATGTATATATATATACCACATCTTCTTTATTCATTCATTTGTCGACAGTCACTTGGGCTATTTCCATAATTTAGCTATTGTAGATAATACTACTATAAACAGCAGGGTACATGCATCCCTTTGAATTAGTATTTTTGTGTTCTTTGGGTAAACACTTAGTAGTGAAATTGCTGGATTGTAGTGTAGTTCTATTTTTAACTTTTTGAGGAACATCCACACTGTTTTCTACAGTGGCTGCACCAGTTTGCATTCCCACCAACGGTGCACAAGTGTTCCTTTTTCTCCACATCCTTGCCAATATCTGTTGTTTCTTGTGTTGTTGATTTTAGCCATTCTGACTGGGGTGAGGTGATAGCTCATTGTGGTTTTGGTTTGCATTTCCCTGATGTTGAGCATCTTTTCATGTGTGTGTAGTTCCATTTTTCAATTTTTTAAGGAACCTCCATGCTGATTTCCATATTGGCGGCACCAGTTTGCATTTGGACCAACAACGCACTAGGGTTTCCTGCAATTATGATACTTTAAAAGAGCATTGTGCTTTCTTACCACTTTTACTAAAATAAAACTGCACATCTGAAATAATAATAATAATAATAATAAAGCTATGGTTATTACTAGGACACATTCTTAAATAATAGGCATTTTCCCAAGCAGATTTTCTTTAGAAGCAATCTCCTTTGGTTTTGGTAATGACGTACGTGAAAAAAAGGAAAATAATTTGATACTCTGCTAATAACCAGGAAAAAAAGTCACTCAAGTATGTATATTCTTCAGTGAAGTAAAAGATTCTTGTTAAACTATGGAAATCCTATTTATTCTTTGTTTCTTATTAAATAGTTGCAAATTTTTCTTCTGTGTGTGTAAATGTGTGTATATCTTTAGCTTGCTCACCCCATCTATGTATCTATGTAGCCATCCAACTATCTATGCAACCTGAGGATTCTACACATGTTCAGGCTGACTGCCCATCCCACCCCCTGTCCCCATCCCCCAACCTCCCAACACACACAGTGAGTCAGAATCTCATCACATGAAGGCCCCACTCATAAACTTGAAACTCCTGTCTTCTTCAGAATTTCATAAAAATGGGTAAACATCTGTTCTCTTAGGATTGTGCTTCAATCCAAATCATAGGTTGTTGGTCAAGTGGCAGCAATGAGTGGAAGACCTCCTTGCTAATCTCTGTATTTCTGTTGTTATCAGATTTCAAAGCACCCCGTTTTCCCCAGAAGCCTCTCCAAGTCTTGACTCTTCTGTGAAAATGTCAATTTAGGGGTGCCTGGGTGGCTCAGTTGGTTAAGCACCCAACTTTGGCTCAGGTCATGATCTCATGGTTTGTGAGTTCAAGCCCCACATCGGGCATTGGAGCCCCACATCGGGCGTTCGAGCCCCACATCGGGCTCTCTGCTGTAAGTGCAGATCCCACTTTGGATCTTCTGTCCCCCTCTCTCTGCCCCTACCCTGCTGTTCTCCCTGTCTCTCTCAAAACAAATAAATAATTAAAATAAATAATTGTAAATTTTTCAATTTACAATTTCAATTAGCAAATTCTTGCTCATGAACCTTCTCTCTCCCCACTGCCATTTACCATCTGCCTTTGCTCCTACTGCTATTCTTTTGTTGTATTCAGTCTTGTTTTGGGATTTGGGTCAATCAGCTATGAATTTTCACTCCATCAGCCCCAGTCTTTTTTTTCCTGGTCCTCCTTCTTATTCCTAACGTATTTTCTTCTTTCCCACTGAAGAAATGACCTAATATCATTTATAGACTAGGGAAGAGAAAAAGAAATACAGACAAAATAAAAGATCACTAACTCCCAAGTATAAGGGAGATTTGTTGACATATTCAAGATCTCTCTTTAACCTACAAAGCAGGCGCTATATAAATAACATGCATTTTCATGAGTACATTCTTTAGCTTTTCATGCCCATGAAGAAGAGTCTCAGGGACCAACATTATGACTCTAAATTCCTTTATGTGAGAATACCTTTGTACATCACTTAGAGAAATAATTTTCCCTCAAAATGTCATCAAATATAGTAAAATTGGGCCAAAAAAATCAAAATTGTGGGGAGTGAGGATAGAATAGTGTTCCAGGAAGATGATGAAGGCAAAAATGTTGCCAAAAACTCAAGATATTAGGCATGCTTTTCTTCTATGTTCCAAATATTTCTTCTGAATTTGAAGGTTTGGAATTTCTGAGATGAAAGAAGTCTTGTTTTTGAAGGGCAAAACTAACCTATACCCTAGTCTACCTTGATCTTTATTACCACAACCAGTGAATTGTTTTTTCTTCCTGTTCCTAAAATATTTCACTTGTACTGAAGTTCAAAAACAGCTTACTTTGTTTTCACCATAGTGGACTACGTCTGAGAAAGGTGAGTTGTAAGTAAATTCTGCAAAGCATTTTCTTCTTAGCAAGAACCATCAATAACAGTCAAATCAACCAATTCCACAAATAATATAAATGTTTTGATTTAAACCTCATGATCATTTATTAAAATTCCCAAGAAGAAGGGCAGAAATAGCTGTGAAATTTATTTCATTAGACAGAGAAAACAGTCATAAATTACCTTATTTTGTAAAGTTTGGGTAGGTTCAAGAACAGAATTATAAAACAGTAATCTTCAAAAGGACTCCCACATTGTTAAGAAGAGGAAATTGAGACCCAGAGAAGTTAATTGCTTTTATTTATTAGCACACTGAATTCTTTTTTCCAATTTTGCAATCAGACAACTTAATTATCAGTGGTAGTGGTGATGGGTGGGTTGGGAGGGGGGAGGTTGGAAGAAAAGCATCAATTTGGTGAATCGTGTAAGCCTTGTTCTCTCCATGTCAGCCTATTTGGGGGTTACTTTCAAGCCTTTCTTACATTCATGGACATACAGAAAGAGGAGGTGGGGAGGTTCAAATACATTGATTCATTTCACTATTAGTTATTTTTGTGAGAAAAGTCACA